TTTTTAAAAAAAAAAAAAAAAAAAAAAATGAATGAACGAGTGAATGAATGAAAGTTTTAAAGACGATTTTTCCTTTTAAAAAATCCTAAAGAAATGGTGAATAAAGTTTTTTTTTAAATGTGAATAAAATATCAATAAGTCACTGAATAAAATTTAATATTTTTCCCTCTAGATAGAACTTACTAGATAGAATGTAAATATTTATCCTTCAACAATTTCAAAACAAAAACTCACCTTCTTCTCGAGCTGCTTCTTGAGTCCCACGAGCTGTTCCAAATCGTCCTCGTGTTGTTGTGCCATTTTACGCTTGATGAACTCTAATTCACGTATCGCGTGCTCGTATCTCTGTTTATAGACACCGCCGTCCTCCCCGTCCTCGCCGTCTGAAACAATTCCATTCAAATCGGCAGCTCTGGCATACAACAATTCCATTTCAAGTCTCTCGGTTGTTTGCTGGAGATTCTTATGCGCCTCGGTAACATCCTGGAGCTCTCGCTCGAGGCGTAATCTCTCTGATGTTTCGGCGTCTATTCGCTCGGCTGCTAGGGTCGACGTCGAATGCTCCTCGGCGTAATCAGCTGTCATGACGCTTAGCTGCAATCAGGGGGGATCATTCTAACATGTGGTCTTCAATTATTGCACTGAGGGATGGATTTTTGGCTGCGACAGTTTGTCGATGAGGTATTAATTAAGGAAGTGCGGCCAATTAAACGCTTGGCTGGAGGCAGTGGATGTCTGATCGATTCCAATCAATTTCCGTCAAAATGTCGATGATAAAAATTTCCCTCACAAGATTTCCCAAGTTTTCCAAGAAAATTCACTCAAATTAATATTCATTAGTTTTCCATAATTTTCTAGGAAATTTTTCAGCTCGACGTAATAAATATTCTTCCAAACAGTTGGAAATTTTTTGATTTTCAGGTAATGACCACATTTGAATTTTCAATTATGTTAAACATCCTGTGAGATCAATATGCTAGGGGATCACACAAATTTTTTTTTAAATCTGGAAATAAAATTATTTTCATTTTCCAAAACTCAATAACTTCTAGATAAATCCTTCCCTCAATAACTCATTCCTGAAAATCAATCTCTGACCTCCCTTCCCCCCCTGCCACCCCAAACAATCCCTCCCCCTCCCATAATTTCAAAACCCCGCGATCGCAAGGTTTCAAGCGTAATTTTGAAAAGAAATTTCTCTCGAAATTTGAAAATAAAACCGTTCTCATTTTCCAAAACTCAAGAATTTTGAGATAAATCCTGCCTCCTACATCATTCCTGGAAATCAATCTCTGAACCCCCTCCTCCCTCCCACAATTTCAATACCTCATTATCATCGCACTCTGACAAAGTCCTGTCCTCCGACAGTCTCTCCAACTTGGCATTAGAGTCGGAAATGCTCCTGGCAAGACTGCTAGCCCGGCTGTAGTACTGAAACCCCTTGATCATGATATTAGTGACACTCTTGCTCCTGCTGAGTCTCTTGTACTTGTCATAGGGCATGGGCAGGCTCTCCAGATCGTTTCCATCGTCCTTCCTCCCGAGTCTCTTCCACTCCTCCATGATGTGATCGGTCCTCTGCAGGAACTGGGATATCCTCGAGGACAGCATGTTGGAGGCTGTCCTGGGCTCCAGGTGAGATGCAGTTGGTCTGAAGGACTGCCTGACCTTCTGCTTCTCGATTCCCAGGATGAAGTTCAAACTGGCGTCGAAAACCACTGGCGCCTGCTCCTTGGAGGACAGCTCTTCCACGTCCAAATGACCGCCAGACTCCTGGGGGAACATTCTCCTGGGGGTTGGCGACTTGCAGAACGAGTTTGTGGAGGTCATTGATGACCTGGAGCTGGTCGGATAGCAAATACTTGATGGGGGACCTCGGGAGCTCGTGGACAACGCGGGTGAAGGGCTCCTGCTCACCATCTTCGCTGTGTTGTTCGGCCGAATAATCGCGATTTTGCTCAGGGGACGAGATCTGAAGGTGCTGGGGGGCAACGGGGGCCTCTTTGGGGGGCACAAGCCCGCAGGAGTCTTCAGGTCCGCGGGGTAGACCCCGTCAATCGCGTTGTTGAAGCGAACATCTGGACCCGAAGTCGAGAGACTCGCCGGCATCGTTCGCATCATGTTCGTCGGACACAGCGGCATCGCGCCGAAGTTTGTCGATTTAGTTATCGAGTTTTAATTGACATTACGCACCGCTGAAAATTTTTCGCGGAAATTTCCGGTTTCGTTGAATTTTTGCTTTAGTGACACTGAAATTTCAGGGATTTTTGCAATTGATGCTCTAAGTTTCAGGGAAACGCAACTGAAGTTATGATTTTTAGTTCAATTGTTCGGTGAGAATTAACGGAAATCAGGAAAATTTCGGGAATTTATGTTCTTGAATTTTTTATTGATTGAATGTTCAAGTAAGTGCGGGAATCCGCTCAATAATCCTTGAGTTTCATTGAATTTTCGGGGAAATGTGAAATTTTTAATGGTTTTTCGTCCAATAAATAACATTCAATGTCACTCTGCAGACAATTTCCAGGGAAGTTCTTTGAAATTTTAATTGTTTTCTGACAATGGCATTTCGCAGGCTTTTATCGATTGATTTATCGATTTGTAATGAACATCAGGCACTGTCGAAAATTTTGAGCTGAAATTTTCAGTACACTTTTTCGAAATTTTCATCGCATCTTAATTCCAGGTAAATTTCACGAATTTTCGCAATTGAAATTTAAAATTTCAGCGAAAAATGAATCGAAGTTGTGAATTTTAGTTCAATTATTCCGTGAGAATTAATAAAAATCAGGAAAATTTGTCTGTTTATATTTTTGAATTCAGAATCGATTGAAATTTCGATTAAGTTCGGGAATCCCCGTCTTTCTCCCGCTTAAGAATTTTGCGATTTCATTAAATTTTCAGTGAAATGTGAAATTTCGTGGTTTTTTCGGTTTTTAATGAACATCACGCACTGTTGAAAATTTTTAGCTGAAATTTTCGGTACACTTATTAGAATTAAAACATTAAAATTTAAAATTTCAGGGAAAAATCAATCGAAGTTGTGAATTTTAGTTCACTTATTCCATCAGGAAAATTCGTCTGTTTATATTCTTGAATTCAGAATCAATTGAAATTTCCATTAAGTTCGCAAATCCCCGTCTTCCTGCGGCTCAATAATTTTGCAATTTCCTTGAATTTTCAGTGAAATGTGAAATATCCCGATTATTCCCGCGCAAATCGAGTTCAATTTCAATATTTATCTAACAGTGCATCACTTCCGACCGCCCATAATCGAAAGGATGTCCACGAATCAATCAGATTGCATAATCAGACGCGAACGATCCGAAATGTCGAGGAGTAGCGAGATTACTGGGTCCTCCTGGCGTCTGGTGGGCAACAGTGGTGATCACCTCCGAGTTATTCTGAGAGAGAGATCGTTCGCTAGGGTATTGGCGAGGAGCCAACATCTATACGACATTGCGGAGGTGAAAAATCGGGAAAGTTATCGAGGCGAATCGAGTTTATCGAGGGTATCTGCCGATTTTTTTCATTGAAATTGTTCGATTTTTGGGAGAACCGATGGAATTCCGGGGATTTTCACTCCGCGATTATTGTTTCTCGCGAGATCAGGAAATCGGATGGGAATAGAAACGAATATGATTGATGTGTGGAGTTTGAGGATCGAATTCAGGCTAATTGGGGGAGCACTAGGCTAAGTGGAGCGGCGAGTATCAGCACGCGTGTCTGCCTCGAACGAGATTAAAAGGTCATGAGAGGTGTTTTTTTCTGTTTTGTTATTTCGAGGCGACCATGGTGTTCTTGTGCTCTCGTGGAGAGGAGTGGGGCTGGAAGGAGAGACGAGTTCTTCCGTAGGTGATGGGGATTTTGTGGGCGACGATGACGTTCAGTGGGATTGGACGGGGTGGATGATTTATCTGGTCTCAGGGGAAAATTTGTCAAGTATTTTTACTTGTAAGATGATTAATTGAATTCCGGTATTACTCGAATTTCACAAAATTTTTACTATCTCAGTGTTGGAAACATATTCATTGCGTTTGTTGAAGTGAAGCATCAGTCAATTTATTTTTCAGTCATAATTAGCGATTTCCTGCTGAACGGAATTTCTATGAGGATGTATTTTAAATTGAATTTAATGATTGATTTAATTCAACATTGTCTCCAGGTTGATCCGACGTTGGCAACCAACATTGCCCCGACGTTGGCAGCCAATATTGTCCCAATATTAATTTTTTTAAATCTTTCCCTACATATTGGTTTCGATATAAATGTTCCCAACAGACAATGCAATCAATATCATTTAAATTGAATTCAATATTGTTCCAACGTCGGCAACCAACATTGGGACAACGTTTGCAGCCAACATTGGCTCAATGTTGGCGCAACGTTGGCCGTCAACATTGGCCCGACATTACCCCGACAATAGATTTTTTTCACCTTTCCCTCCATATTGGTTTCGAAATAATTTTTTTCAAAAATACTCGATGTAATCAATCTCATATTCGATTTCAGTCAAGATGGCATTGAGAAGATTATTTAAATCACGATTGGATTCATTTAAACAAATAGCTAAAAATAGCATATTCGAACTCTTGAGGGCAAAATTAGTCATCCTAACACCATAAATTATGGAAAACTCTGATAAATAACCACCTTGATATAAATTGAATTTTTAACAGAATTTTCTATTCATGTAGTCTCGAAATTGAATAGAAAATAAGGAATACAGGGCAGCTCAGGGGCTTATGTCCACTATGGAGTGCACGTAATAAATTCACATCTCTCTCATTCGTTATCGGGCGATGAAATTGATCGGACTGAATCAGACATTCAATGCCTTCATCCCTTGGTGCTCGAATAAATCTTGGAATTTACGCTTCAACTCCATTCGCCATGTCAAGCATCAATTTCTCAAAATACTAATACTCCAACAATTAAACTAATCACGGGATATTTATCTCTATAATATTTGTTTGCACGTTCAAGCAAATTACCCTTACCTTAGCCTCGAGCTTGTCGTTGTCATGCTTCAAGTGATTTCTTTCTTGCTCCAGTTTCTCGACTTTAGCACGCAACAGTTCAAGTTCCTCCTGAATGGCAAAAATGTTCATTTTTTTTTCATGAGAAAAGTAATTGCATACTTTCTTCAGAGAAATATGAATGCAAGTGTATTTATGCTATTCATCTTATTTTTTATGTAATTATCATCCGAGAGAACGAAGACTGGTTTGATGTCAACGTGAAAAATTAGCGTGATACTTTCGATATCCCGAGCTGGTTCAATTGATTTTTTTCCGATTTGAAAACTAGTGCAGTTTTTCTGACGTACGATAATATACAACTTATTCTATTAAGATGATTTTTGCAGAAATTCATCGGTTCAAGTCGTACAAATTTTTTTGTTTGATTTTTCAAGTGGAAAAGGAAGAAAAATAAAGTGGAAAAGCGTAGAAAATTCATACTTAGGATTTCAACGGAAAAAGTTGTGTAGAAAGATGAAATTCTACTAATTTTTTCTATGAACTATTTTTTATTGAACATTTTCTATTTAAAAAACGCGCAGTAAAGCTGCAATTTTTCGTATCAATAGAAATGTTCATCGGAAAATATTCAAGAGAAAAAAATCAATAGAACTGGATTTTTCTACATAATTTATTCTATTGAAATATTTTGTACAGAACCTCTTCGGTTTAAATTTTTCAAATTTTTTGTTTGATTTTTTGAATGGAAAGAGAATAACAATAGAGCAGAAAAAACTTCGAAAATTCATATCGAGAATTTTTTTAATTGTTTTTTGATGTGGAAAAAAAATAGAGTGGAAAAAACCTGGAAAATTTATGTTGCGGAATTCCTATGGAGTCTCAATAGCAAAAGTTGAATAGAAAGATGAAATTAGTCAGAATAATTTCTATTGAAATCAAAATAGTTATCGTAATAGTTTCTATTGGACATTTTCTATTGCATTTGGTCAAAAATCAATAGAAGTTCAGTAGAAATCGCCTCGCCTCATTCTCCTCATTCTCGTCTCATGTCATGCAGTCCATCAATTTGATAATTACTATTCCCCGAATTTGAAAATAACGAACCGTTCGTGCTTTCAGCTGATCCTCGGTCCGATGAACATTTAACAATGGCGCAACCTTTACGTACAACCTCCACCAAGGCCACTCTCTCACAGACATGAGCTTCCTCACATTTCTCTGGATGCATCTCACAGCGAGATCTTGCAGCTGAAATTTCAAACCCATCGATTATTCGTCTCATCACTTTTTCCCCGCCGCAGAAGTCGTTTTTAATCATGATAATAAGGGCAAAAAACGATATTCGTAACAGCATCAATCATAGGATCACTCTTACCTTCAGAGTGTTGAGTTTCCTGCGTGCCAGGTAGCCCCTGCATCTTGCTTGCAGCAGTATTATGTGACCGGTTAATTTTTCATCACGCTGGGACTCGAGTCTCTCCAGTGCGCCAGCTCGGAAGAATATCTGCAATCAGAGTAAAGAAAACAAAAACATCAGTCGAAGACATCACGAATACTGGAGAATTCCATCGATTTTACGTTAAGGATATCCAAGTTCTTTGGCTATTTTTTCCCCAGTGAAATTCTTTTCTACTTTTTTAGTCGAACATCAGAGCTTTCAGTTGAGCCCCATTTGACCCTAATTTTTCTGACATGTTATAATGATTCTATTATTTAAACTTTGCAGGTCTCAATTTAATCTCGATATTGAACCGTTAGAAAACATTTGAAAGATCTGAAAAAATTAGAAAGCTTACTTTAGGAGGAAGATTGATAAAATAATTAAAAAATTGCAATTTTTAAGAATTACAAGCATTTTCTATAAATAATTTATAAACAATAAATTTTCCACTATAAAAATCATTTGTTTAGAATTGTAACAAATTTATGTATACTCTGAGTTTTATCAGAAATCGATTATATGCCGATAAATATAAGATTTTTGAAAGTTCAAATAATTTCAAATATTTATTTATAAACAATGAATGTTTAAAAAATTAATAATTCTGCGCAAAATATAATTTGCATAACGATGAATATTCATAATTTTTTTCAAATTTTTCTCACGCAATTTAATTGACAAATTTGATGATTGAAAATATTCTTGAATCAAGAAATTCTAGGAATTTCATTTCTTTCCACTCATTTCTCTGTTATTTCCTGACATAAAGCATCAATTTTACGCCCAAAATTGAATATTCTTAGCCTTGACGAACGATTTTCCCCAATTCATATAAATAAACGGCAATATCACGAAAGAGAACTAAAAATATTCCGCGTAAAATCAACTAGAACATCCATTAGAAATCCTCTAACATCAGGGTCAATAAACCCCCATGACATCGCGAAAATCCACGATCATCATCAACTCATCGAGCAACTCCCGGACATCAATCTCCAATCAGTTCACTACTCGATGAAATTCCTCTCGAAATTACAAAAATGCCCAATAATAACAGCACTTCCAGCAGTAATATCTCGAAATTCTCCATTAAAACCCAGCCATAATGTTTAAAGTATCTCAAACAACCATAAATACCGCACAGGCCAATTCCCAGCATCATCAACCAGGAATGATAGCCAGCAAAACTAATAACATATGCAAAAAAAGCCAAGCGTAATAGTAACCACGAGCATGCAAAACGAGTTCATTGAAGAGATCTAGGATAGTAACCCCGACCTACACAAACGTTACATTATTCCCCTGAAAACCACAAAGCGTCCCACTACCTTAGTGCGGTAGCCCGTAATGCCAATAATCTTGACCTTATCTCCAGTATTTCCGGTTGCAGCGAGGACTTTACAAGTATCCTCTGAAATATTTCCAGATTCCTCCCAGCCTGATGTCGATAACCTACTCTTGAGATTTCTCTTGGCTTTAGGCTGTTCAGGAACATATCTCTGGACAATGGGGAGAGCATCGAATGCCTCAATGGTCCTCTCAAGACTCGTATCCAATTCGTGAATAATGCCCTTGAGAAAGCTCTCGGTTTTCTCGATGTTCTTGGTATCAACACCATTGACTTCCTCCTTCCACTCTATTTCATTCTCATTGCTTATGTGGCCACTGTCCTCCGAGCAATTGCCGTCCGAGGAGTATCCGTTGGCCTTCTCATCCTTCTTCGAGATTATCGGAGATTCCTTGAGCTTCCAGGTGTCGTCAACTTCCTTCGAACCTTTCATCTGATTCTTGCAGTTGAAGAAGTTCACCAGTTGTTCAATGTCCTTCGTCCTCTTCCCTGGGCAATTCCCTTTGTCAGTTTTCTTGTCTCCGTCGTCAGCATGCTGAGATTGCTTGATCTGGTTCTCCCACGTCTTCCGGATTTCCTGGATGTTGACCTCTGGTTGACGAGAAAACAAGCTCTCCTGTCCCTTGGACGAGGCAACTGTTTTCTCAATCGTCTGACTGCCCTCAGGTCTCGCCGATTCTTCCTTAGACGCTTGCTTCTCACAGCTCTTCCTCTCCGCCATCATCATCGCTTCATCGTCGTCGTCCTGCTCGAGTTGGGCCATCAGCTCGGCAGCTCTAGCCTCCAAGAAGCTGACCTGACCCTCCACAGGAACCGACACAGTCCTCACCAACTCTTTCTTCGGTTTTTCCTGCTTCTTTAAGTTTTCGTAAATCGGGGGAGGATCGCTGTTGCCAACAGCTTCACGGCAGTTCTGATAGATATGCTCAGAGCCATGATCTACCTCGTCATGGAAGTCGTCAATCGTTGTGTAACTCAGCTTATCAGGAAAGCGATCTACAAGCAGTAGATCGCCCAGAGAATTCCCGATGTGGCTCTGGCTCCCGAAGTGTTGAGTGAACAGGGGAATTCTGCTGGGTCTCAGAGCATTTATCGATTTAGCTCTTGATAGCTGTCCAGGATTGTCAGCGGGGACACTCCACAAACTCGTGGCTCTGTTCAAGCCTTCTGCACGAGTCTGGAGACACTTGACTTCGGACTTTCGAGGGCTTCGGTCTGCAGGTACGTTCCACAAGCTCGTGGAGCGGTTGAGACTCTTCTTGCGCAGGGCTTCCGGTTTCCGCGGTACCTTCTCCGGGGACGACAGCAAACCTTTCTTCAACAAGGCTCGGTCTTCGAGAATCGTGCAGGATCCATCCTTCGATCGTCTTGGAGCACCAGGGGCTGTGTTGAAGGCTTTCTTCGCGACTTTCTGAGGCGTCTTGACTGGACTTCGGTTAGAAGCCACTGAAACAGAGTCTCCAATGATTTCTACAATCGTCACGTTGTTCTGGGAACGAACTGGAGTTGCTATTCGTGTAAGCTTGCTCTGCAGTGCTTTTTTCGAAGTCAGTGGGACAGACTTTCGACTCTGAGACGCAGCTGGCGACGGAGGGTCTACCTGAACCGTTGGAGACGGCTTAGAGACGTTCGGACTGCTCTTCGCTTTCGAAAGTCTGCGATTCACGGATATTCCGGAGTAGCTGGACCACTGAGGCTGCACAGGCGTCACCTTTTGCGGTCCCGGCGGAATCCTCAGGGCTTTCGTTGATGACATCTTGCAGCCGAAGCCAATATTCAGGAACTGGAGAAGTTGCTCGGGGTCTTGACGATTTCAGACTGTTTATTCAGCCATTCGAGTGGTCATTTCAACATTGAAATGTCGTTTAACCACTTATCGAACAGTGATATCGGTTTGTTGTGATGATCAATGATATTGTTTCAGCCAATAAGATATTTCCACTGGTACAAGAGAATGGCCGGTGTAAAAAGCGTGAAGATTCATCTCTTTAATTGGAGAAGAAAAAGAGAGATATTCTCTCAGGGAGAGGGCGTTTACACGAGAGGCAAGGTGACCATTAACGGGTCGTTGGTTTGCTGTGTCCCGGGGGCACAACTCCCTTCTCCAGTGTAAAATCGGAAACAATAAATAGATGAGATGGTGCTTGGTTGTTATCCCTTCTTTTTTAATCATCAAACACTTTTCTTTGGCGGAGGGGGAAAAGGACGAGTTGAAGATTAGCTGGAGACTTTTAGTGTAACTTGGCGTTTTACGGCCAGTAAACCGGTTTACAATCACTCATTTTCTACTCGATTTGTATGTTTTTTTTTTACTTCTTCGCTGAGGGAAGAATTTTCCATCAATACTCTTTGTTATTTGTTTATTCAGGGTCTTTGTGGATGGGTGCGGTATTGAATTTAATGAGAACACCTGTCGTCACAACTACTTTCCTACGAGTTTACCGTTATCAATAACGCGAGGATCCACTCATGCATTACCACGAACTACAAGGGGCCATTAACTCGCGATTGTTGCGGATTTATTCCTGATTGCGATTGATTAATCGATGGTCAATGTAGTGGATGTTGCTTGGGTAGTATGAGGTGAACTGGATTGACTGCTCTGAGGAGCATTGGGGGATTTTGGGGGGAGTTTTTAGTGGTTCTACTCAGTGATTTGGGATTTAGTGCACTCGTTGCACATCAGTACGGATAACAGTTGGTGGTCGTTGCGAATCCTGAGGTGGAACGATCTTGACCGCGAGCGAGACGAACGGGTACTGAAGGCCCAGCAGCGCTGGTGGGATTGTCAGGGGGAACCTCTTCGTCGTGATGGTGTATGTGTGGGTCAGGTGCTCAGGGAAAAATCCCCTCTCTGGGAGTTGCTGGCTCTTCGTGATTTCTCCGGTGGACATGTTCGATCAGAATGAGAGGGGGGGGAGAGAGAGAGAGAGAAGATGCTGAACTTTGGGAATTAATCAACTCGTGCGGTTTTTTAGATTTAACGTGAATTTTTAGTACGAAAATTGAATAAATTTTTTAGTAAGCTTTGAATTGCAAATGTATTCATTTGATTTTTAGTAGTTGTAAGTAGAGAATTGAAGCAGGGTTTTGCAAATTCGTAATGAGGTTGACTCAATCCTTTGATCGATGGTTGAAAAACAAAAAAGGCTGGGCTCTTCAATGAATTTTTGAGTAAATTTTGAATTGCAAATGCATTCACTCGATTTTTAGCAGTTGTTTCGCCAATTTTAATAACAAAAGTCCAAAAACTCAAGAAANGGGGGGGGGGGGGAGAGAGAGAGAGAGAAGATGCTGAACTTTGGGAATTAATCAACTCGTGCGGTTTTTTAGATTTAACGTGAATTTTTAGTACGAAAATTGAATAAATTTTTTAGTAAGCTTTGAATTGCAAATGTATTCATTTGATTTTTAGTAGTTGTAAGTAGAGAATTGAAGCAGGGTTTTGCAAATTCGTAATGAGGTTGACTCAATCCTTTGATCGATGGTTGAAAAACAAAAAAGGCTGGGCTCTTCAATGAATTTTTGAGTAAATTTTGAATTGCAAATGCATTCACTCGATTTTTAGCAGTTGTTTCGCCAATTTTAATAACAAAAGTCCAAAAACTCAAGAAAAATGATTTTTCAAAAAATTCAGGAAATTTGCCACCAGAGTTCTGTTGCAAACAGGAACGTCGGATGTCACACACAATTCACTCGCAAACTTTGAAAGCAA